ATGAGATTTGGACTGTCGGTCAATCCAACCAAGTGTCAGGCAATCGTAGTAGGCAGTAAACGTATAATGAGCAGATTGAATACTGCCTCTATCTCACCGATCGTCTTTAATGGTTTAACTATTCCATTCAGCCCAGCAGTCAAAGATCTGGGCTTACTTATCGACTCAACCCTCGATTGGCAAGCCCAAGTTACTAGTGTGAGCCAGAAAATAACCGGAAACTTGCGAACATTATATCGTCAGAATTTCCTTCCTCCTAAAACCAAAACTACCCTCATGCAGTCCTAAATAATCCCAATAATTGACTATGGTGATGTGTGATTGTGATTATTTCGACCTGAATGCAGACCTTTTTAATAAGCTAGACCGTCTCCTCAATAACTGTACAATAACAATTGAACTGGTTACCTATTCGCTTGCGCCGCAAACAGCGTGCAGTTATCACTCTATTTTCATTTCTTAACTCATCGTCCTCACCTACTTACCTTGCTCCCTACTTCCGTTAGCTGTCCACTAACCACGACAGAAATCTTCGCTCAGTTAATAATCTGCTTCTCTTATGTAGGGACATAAGAGAAGCAGATTATTAACTGTTCTAGAGTAGTACTGCTTGAACAAAGAACGAAGAAATCACGAAGTCGGAGTTGTGAGAGGGCTCACAACTCCGACTTCGTGATTTCTTCGTTCTTTGGAATGCGCTCCCGCTCGAAGTCAGGATGTCCACAAACCGCTTTATTTTCAAAAAAAAAGGTACATGATCTCCTTCTCAACGAGATGGCAGGACTATCTAATCTATAGTATACCTCATTTTCCGGTATTCATAGTGTGCAAATATAATATGTCTATGTATCTATATAAATATAATTGAATATACTTGGTCTACCAATAGGGATGACCTGGGTTTGACAGCTCATAGCGGCCATGTTTGACGATGGATCTTTGACGTCTCTTGACATTTGTGTTCAGTAAGGTTTGCCATTTAATCATGTCACGTTTCACTTTAAACCAATGCTTGGAAATTGTCCAAAATTATTACGAAAGTGACAAGGGAAACCCGGTTACTGTGAATGGCGAGCGCTATAACTCGATGTTAACCGAATATTTCTTTCCGGAATTTGATGATATTGATGCAGACGATCTTTATTTTCAACAAGACGGTGCACCACCTCACATTACTCGAGTGAACATGGAATTATTGGGTGGAAAGTTTGGTGAGTCGTTAATTTCGGGAAATGAACCGATCAGTTGGCCACCAAGATCGTGTGATTTAACACCTTTAGACTATTTTCTTAAGGGTTACCTTAAATCTAAAGTGTACAACAATAATCTAGCTACAATTCGTGACCTAAAAACCAACCTTAGACGAGCCATAGCCGACATACCGGCCGAAATGGTGCACCGCGTCATCGAAAATTGGCGTGAGCGGGTGACCGTCTGCAAAAAGAGCCGCGGCGGTCATTTGGCCGATATATTATATAAATTGCATAAAATTATCTATCAAATAAATCAATCGAATGCATTTTTCATAAAAAATGTGTATGTATGAGTTTATATATGTAGCGAACCGTTATATGTACTTTCACTTATTACTTAATACATTAAGACGTAACCTCTGTGCACCTACCTTATAAGATTTTCTACACCACCCAAAGGTTAACTGGAAGAGTAGCCTAAGGCATTAAGTCCGCCGATGTACAAAAGTGCATAAATTTAAATAAATAAATAAGTAGCAGTCAGTTTTTTGCGTTTTGTAGACTAGACACAAATAATGAACTCGATGCTAATTCATTCTACTTCTACGTCAGAAGTAACTTCGATTAAGTGCAAATATGTATTCATGAATATATTCTCTGCATCAGTCTACAATACTTAGAATAATGCAGATGTACTTATGCATTATGAACGTATTTAAAAAGAAACCATCTTGCGGTATGTATGTAAATTTTCGAGTACCCACATCACAACCTACGCTTATTTTAGGTTTAAACGTAAGGTTTTGTTATTGATGAATAAAAAAATATGAAATATAAACTTGGGCAAGAGTGGGATTCTCTTACTCAAGTTTTAATTTTAGTCATTAAATCATGAGTATAAATAAAATGCATTTGTTATAATATTCAGAGAACAGTAAATAAACATTGTTCTATGATAATAGCCACGTATTTCGGTGTCTGAATTTCCTATGAATTTTGGAGCAGAAAACGACTACACACAACAAAGTAATCATTTTGGAAGTCGACAGCTAATGATGACAATAAAAATAAATAACAATAACCACAGTTAATTTTGTAACATCACTCTTGGTTTTGTTTGAAAGGGACTCCATAACTTTAATAGATTAAGGTATTTTAGTTGAAAAAAAAAAAACTCAAAAGAAATTATAGAACCTGCGAGTATGAACCGCACAAATATACTCGTATATGAGTATATAATACTCATACGAGTATATTTGTGATATTTTATGATTGATTATTTTGTGATTTGATTGATGTTTGATTTGATTGACAAACAAATGTCTCATGATTACATGAACACACACAACAAACAACCCACACACTCGGAGTCAGAGGACTGGCCATTTAAAGCCATGTTGGTTATACAGGTCCCTTACGAGTACTAGGCATAGTCAGCTAAATTTATTATATATGCCATTTGATGTAGGCTACCTAATACACGGGCACGCCGTCATCGCGGCGGTAAGACCCGTTATGGAGGATTGGCTCGAGAGGCGTCACGGGACCCTCTCATACCGATTGACGCAGGTGATCACTGGGAAGGGATGTTTCGGAGATCACCTGTGTCTGATCCGCAAGGAGCCAACGCCTGAGTGCCACCACTGCGATGGCCAGACCGTGGACACGGCTCTCCACACGCTGGCAGAGTGCCCGGCGTGGGTTGAGCCTAGGCGAGACCTCGTGGCGGCCATCGGAGTGGGAGTTCTCTCGCTCGATAGCCTGATTGCGGCTATCGTGCGGAGCGAGAGTGCGTGGAACTCTGCCGTCTCCTTCTGCGAGCAAGTTATGCTCGCGAAGTAGACGGCGGAGCGGGACCGGGAGAGGTTTAGAACTCTCCCGGCCCGCCAGGCCCGGGAACGGGCCAGGTACCGCAGGCGACTCAGGCGCCGGAGGTCGCAGAACGACCTCCGTCCTCCATAAACGCAGGCCTGGGGGTGACAGGTGAGGCCATCTGTCACCCTAGCAGAAGCAGGCCGGGGTGGCGGCAAGCGCGTTGCGAAGCGCGCTCGCTTCCAGGGAGCACCGGGAACATGGGGTTCCCACACGGGGGGGGTCGTCTACTCGTCTGTAGATGACCCGAGGTATGTCGGGGTACCAGGGACTTCCTTTCTAGGGTATACCTGGTTCCCCGGCTATTAGTACCCGAGACGGCGTGCGGTTTTAGTCGGTTCGAGTCCGACATGCCACCGACAGGTGGTATCCGAGGGGGAAACAAAGGTCAAACATCAAAAAGTCGCTAATCGGATGTCGCCGTTTTCAATTATTATGTTGTTTATTAGACATGCTTTATATGATATTTTACTTCGATTCATCCACAATCCGAAAATCACTTGAAATAAGACAAAACAAATGCTTTCCCGTTTCCAGAATTAAATGCAATTTTGGTACTAAAGGGCATTTTTGCAAGTCAGAAAAAAAAAATGTAACTTAATAACTAAATAAACTTAATAACAAAAGCTTACAGGCAAACGGATTACCAGTGGAATCCACCGACCGGCGCTGGAAACAACTATTGGAACGACGCCAGCTGTCAGATTTCTACCTGAATGCGCTCTAATTGGGTAATTTTGTCTTAAATTTAGAGAGAATATACAGCAGGAGGAAGTAATACTAGAATAATAAGAAAAAAAAAGTGATATCTAGCGAAATTCATATTTGGAAATATAGTCACGATGTATTATACAATCTACTGTAGTTGTTTGGAGTTGCTCCGTTCTCTGAGGTATTGTCGAATGTTCTACGAATACTCTGATTTAATTTCAATTAAACTGTTATGTAATTAAAATCAAACAAGTAAATATGATTTAACAACTTCATATTTCATTTGTTTTTGGATCCTTATTTGCATGCATACGAGAATCACAGGGTTGTCAGTCGTTTATAACTAGTTGCTATGGGAGCAGAATGAAGAACTTTTTAGTGCATCTGTGAGGCACAAAATTAATTCCTTTGCGTTATTTATAAGCGTATTAATTCTCTCTATCCGTTTACTTCGAGTTGCACACTTTCACAGCTTTGACTGCAACAAATTAATTAGAATTAGAAGAGGTAAAGCATAAAAAGACGTGTACATGTTAAACATGATCTCTGAAACTACAACTATTATTTCAGTATTTAAAAGTTATAAAAATAATAATCTTTTATTATAAATATAATAGGAAATTCCTCAGAGTCGAAATAAATCGTGGGTTATAAGTAAATGTGATGTCTATTACACTGAATGTAATTTTGAAACATGTATTTTCAACATATTTGAGACACGTTTATATCGACAGTAAAATATAAACTTTATTATGTTCTAATACATTTAGCGAAACACTAATATTTATAATGAAATGCCAGCTCAGCTCTTTATACTTGAATGCTAAAACTAAAGTGAGTTTAATATTCTTCATTTGTCTAATCAAGTACCTTTTAGCAAAAGCATCAAGTCACTAATCACATTTAAATTAAGAAACCTTTTACAAGAAACGAAATTAATCTGCGTTCGTGTTAGGCATTTACATAATAATTGTTTACAAACTATCGTGAATATAGATGCATTTTGCATATGTAAATCGGGAACATCTCGACTGAATTGCACATATCGTGGTCATGAGTGGACGACAGGACCAAGGTGACAACAACAGCAATTTATAATTTTAGGTATCTAACTTGATGGAGCCTGAACAATGGTAACCAAATTGCTGATAAACATATTTATTATATATGTCTGTGCAAAACATATTCCTATATTTTTATAACAGTTATGGAACATAAAAACCTCTAAAGAACATGTACTGCACAAGGACTTACTTGTTTTCCTACATGGATAGCTAATACCATATCTTTGGCATGGGCCCTAATACTAATACGAGCTCTTCCATCTTTGTTTACAGTTACTAATTTGCCGGTACAATTCCTGCGTTTGATGACGCCAGTAATCACATCACAATATCTACCAGGCGGAACACAGACCTACAAAAAAGAAATAGATATAATGATTAGTAATACAATAAAAATGACATTTAAAATTTAAAATACTATTAAATGTGATCAAGCTAGCAAAATAGTACATTTTTCCTTGGGTAAACAATTATATAACTACCTTCCCCCGAAGTTATATAAGAAGTTGTCATGTATTTGTTTAGCTTAATTTTGTCTAAATAATATCCAATACATCATCATGAATAAACATTTTGGATAAACATCGTAAAGTTACCTGTAAAGTTTCATCGAAGTCTATAAGATCGTTGTTAAAAGCCACGAATGCCACTGCCCCCCTGCAAAATGCAATCTGATTGCTGCCATTATCCCACCAGTCATTGACCCTATTATTTGCGGCTACTTTTCTGAAGGCGACCATGCTGTAAATTTGTGGCCAACGATGTTCGCAAACCCACCCGTTACCGCAACTGCCGTCCTGAAGAACAAGTTGCATTAGAAATATTTAAACTTATAAATACTGACAAGAATATTAGCTCTGACTAGTGTTCATATTTATTAAAAATATAGATACCCAGAGCAAATACAGATAGGACCACATAGAGGTCTCTGTTCAAGGAGTAAGCCGAGTAAGCTTGCCGCGACGTTGGCCAGGCCTCACACAGTCTGACATAAACTCACTAGTGTAATATCGTATATTTTTATTAAATAATATCTATATATGACTCTAAACTATAGTTTCTGGTCAACATAGCGTATTTATAGCTTATTAGATGAAACGTTCAATAAGAAATAATAAAATAAATATACTCATTATTGAAAAATGGATCCGAAATACAAACAATGAAAATCATTAGTTTCATCATCCTGAGGCAGAAGTGCCACTTACTTGTTTTTCCAGAAGAGTTTTTCTTTTAATTCTAGGTATATTAGTGATGACTAGAAATTGGTGGCCACGTGGGTTATTTAACTAACGTTGACGACTCGAATGGAATTCTGTTAAAGTATGACTTGTGACTGAGTCAAGGACTAAAACGTCTTAAGGATAACACGTAACCAAACCAAATGCTCCAAGATTTTAAAGCTGCTGCCATAAATTTCACAAAAAAAAAGTGATAATTGATTATATCTTTGTTGTACCTACTTTAAATAAAGAAAGAAATCATAATAACATTCTTACACGTTTAATTGAAGGGGAAAGAATCCTTTGATTTTCATCCATTGGAGGTCCAACGTCAGGATTTTCAAATTTGAAACTGCTCATTATCCGAGGATTGCCGTAAGAATAAGCCAACATAAATGCGACAGCGCCGATGTAATTCTTCGGCTTTTTATAAGTAAGGATATTGCACCCAGGGCAGTATCCTCTTTGATTATCATGATTATCGATGAAAGTAATAGCACTGTGTGAGGGTACGAAACCCCAGCTGGTACCCAAATTATGCAACCAAGAAAGAACATTAAAACGCTGGAAAGCTCTTGATACTTCCATTCCATATCTAAACTCGGTTACAGCACCCATTGCAGTATATTCATCACTGCTGATGGCTTCTCCTCCAAAATCAATGACTTCTTGATAAATAAAGGGCCGAGCACCACTAGGGAAACCGTGTTTAGTACTCAGGCTATGTAGGCGGCTATAGATAATTTTCAGATCAAAGGGCCACATGTGTTTCGCTGAGTCAATCCTACAAATATTATAAGCACACTGCTGTTAAAGGCTAAATTAGATAAGTACTTAAATTTGATATGTGGCCATTTTTACCTGAACCCTGCGACACCTAACCTTATAAGATGGTTTAAATACTTCACTAACACATCACGCACGTGTTCGGTACCTAGGTTTAAGTCCCTTAGACCGTCCAGTTGACAGTTGCGAACCTGCAATGCGATAGCTTTATTTAACTTAAAACAGTAAAAAATTGCCAGTAATGAATAAATGGGAGACACTGTAAAAATAATAATATTATACATTACACAATTGCAAGTAAATAACCAAAATTCACCGAAGAGTTTTTTTTGAAGTTTTCATTTCTAACAAAAAGTTTCTTTCTCTTTGAGACTTTCATTTATTCTTTTCTACCTAGTTCAGGTTGGAAAGATTGAAAATTTCATACGTAATTTTGCACAATTAAAATATATCCATCGATGGTTTTCTCCTATACATTATAACATTCAATATTTTTTTCAGAGACAACTCCCGCGCTGGGAATATTGGTCCTGTGTCACGGAGGACTTTACAGACGTACATGAAATTGACGCAAAGAACACCCAGATTCAGAAAAACAGTTTGGTTGCCTCAAGTGAGGATCGAATCCACAACGCTCAGTGGTGGAAACGTCGATGGGCACGTCGTTATCGCGATGGTAAGACCCGTAATGGAGAATTTCTGCTCGTTTGCCCCCTATTCCATAAAAAAAATTGGCTCGAGACGCATCACGGAACCCTCTCATACCGGCTGACGCAGGTGATCACCGGGTAAGGATGCTTCGGAGATTACCTGTGTCTGATCCGCAAGGTGGCACTCAGGCATTGGCTATGCCGAGTGCCACCACTGTGGTGGCCGGACTGCGCACACGGCGCTCCACATGCTGGCAGAATGCCCGACATGGGTAGATCAAAGGCGTAGCCTCATGGCGGCCATCAGAGTGGGAATCCTCTCGCTCATGGTACTGACGAGAGTGCGTAAAACTTCGTTGTCTCCTTCTGCGAGCAAGTTATGCTTGCGAAGGAGATGGTGGAGCGAGACCGGGAGAGGCTTAGAACTATCCCTGCCCGCCAGGCCCGGCGCATACGACTCAGGCACCCAAGGTCGCAGAACGACCTCCGTTTTCCATAAGCGCAGGCCTAGGGGTGTCAGGTGAGGCCATCTGTCACCCTAGCAGAAGCAGGCCGGGGTGGTGGCGAGACGCGCCCTTTCGGGAGCACAAAGGGGACATAGGGGTTCCCACAAAGGAGAGGGTTATCAAAAAAAATGGGGGAAACGTCGAGTGGAGCGCTTAAATACCTACGCCATCCGCGCAGTCGAATATATATCGATACACTAAGAATATACATAAAAACATAATTAAATTGAATGCAAATATTAGACGTAATTTGTGTATCATCCGTAAATAGAAACAGCTAACGTAATTTACCCTTTCAGGACAACATTTATAATCCTCTTTAGAAATAATACAATGTGGCCAATTGAAATTGTAACTATAATATGGTACAGAAGGGTAGACCCAGTCTCCAAAGTTGACTTTGCTACCACCGGTGCCGTAGTACTCGTCCGATTGGGCGGCCATGTGGTTGACGACCGCATCTACGTAAATTCTGAAAGGTAGTAACGAAATTACGCACAAGTACTAAAATTATATATCTCATCATCAACAGCCTATAACAGTCCACTGCTGGACATAGGTCTCTCCTTAGAAAGGAGGTTTTGGCCTACTATACCACGCTGGTCAGAGGTTATAGGTATAGGGTTTGTTTCAAGTTTTCCTTCTCTTTGCAGTGCTGTTGTCCTGCGTAGTTTGTTCCCTTAGTCGACTCTTACGACAGCCACGGGATGAATAGGGGTGGTGACATCCGTATTCTTAATCCGTCACCACACGGACAGAATTAAAATTATACCTACCTTAAGCAAATAATAACTGTTAAGTACAGAGACATCACGTTAGTTAGGCGTCATGTTAACGAAATTTGTAAGAGTTGAATTGATTTAAAATTCGGGAATACATCAGGCCTTTTTACGGTAGAAGCGGCCTCACAGTGCAGAGAGAGAGAGTGCTCTGGTCTCGGTTCTGATAAATGTGAATTAAACTAGTGACTATCTTTGATCTAATAGCTGGGTGAAGGACTGCGTGTTTTTGTATTTTTCATAAAACGCCTCAAACACCTGCTTGTTAATAACGAAAGCGACAACAATGGAACCTACTTTTTTCAATGATAATAATAAAACCTTATGAAAATAATTAGGAACACAAACCTGACTCCAACGTTGTTGCACCTTCGTACCATATTAGCGAATTGTTTTTCGTTACCTGAGCGCGTGATCAAGCGATAAGAAATAGGTTGGTAGCGTTCCCACCAAGGACGTTTTTGCAGTCTAACCATTAAATTTTCATTGGGGGGAGAAACCTAAAAAAATAAAACATGTGACAGATTTTTTCTTAAATAAATAATTTTAGGTGCAGCGGCAGATGGTCCGGGGCATTCGAGTAAACTTGGTTTCTAGTCAGTTTGAGTCCATCATAACCGACACGGTAGTGTCCGAGGGGATTTCCGCACAGAAAAATAAAGAGTAACACATGTCTTATAAGTTTCTAAAATTCTTCATCTTCAAATCAGTTCTTCTCTGGAATGCCCTCCCTGCCGAAATCAGAATGTCCACAAACCGCAAAGTTCTTCGGAGTAAATTGGCAGAACAGTCACAACGGTAGTACCCGGCTGAGTATTTATATATTTTATTAAATTTATGTAGGTTTATGTATGTATGTGTGTTTATATATTGTGTATATTACAAGGACAACATTACAGGACAATTATCTTAAATTTAATATTTTATTTTGCACCTACGCCGCATCATATTTTTTCATCACCTGAATGTTGACTAGGAGAGAATGCCTCATGGCATTAAATCCGCTTTTCAACATGTGCAAGTTTTAAATAAATAAAATTTATTGGTTATGGCATCTTTATTATTTGCATCTCTCTTATACTCATGTCGTTCCACCATAATATAAAACGATAGAAATAACGAACTTTAAATTCTTGTTTCAATATTTAGCATTTCTTAATTTTTACTTTTTCAAGAAAATGACATTATGGAAGTTGTGAATTACTACTAAGAACTCACCTGAACGCCACCATATCCTTTAGGTCCAAGAAACCTTTCACATTCAGCGGCAATATCTTTCCACTTCCATTCGAACAAGTGTACCATTGTAGTGCGCCCACGCACATAATGTGTTTTCTTGTACTTCATTCTAGGCGGTATTTTCTCTTTAGGCTTTTTAGTTATCGCGTATGGTAAAACTAGAACCATAAACAAACTGATAGTGATGAATCTTTTCATCCTAAACAGAGAAGCACCTTTTTAAGAATAAATGTATGAGCCTTTTTTTAAGACGAATATTCTCAACCTCTTCGATAAAGGTATCATGTCAACAAGACTAGAACAAAGGCCAACTGATCGCCGAATAGTGATCTTAATCAATGCCTATTGATAAAACAATACATCATCAACTGAAAATAGATTATTATTACGCTGTTATTTATAAATCTGCGGTGATCCATTTAAAAATGTGTTAGAAGCTAAAGATAAACATTTGGAGAAACGGTACTGAATAATATCCGTAACTCTTCGGATTAAGTTTTTTTTTTATAGAATAGGTGGCAAACGAGCAGACGTGTCACCTGATGGAAAGCGACAAATAAGACAATGAAAAGATTGTAAGTACGGTATTAGGTCATATATGCTTAATGTTATGAAAAACTTTATAGCTGTACATGTATAGGCGACCAAGAAATTGGTTTACCACTTTTGATGACATCTCCCAGTAACATAATTATTCGCTAAGGATTACTGTATTACATTAACGTAATTGGTTAACTGTGAGCCAATCACAGAGCAATGGTTAAAAGAGCATGCAACTTGAACTGTGATGTCAACGCAATAGAGAATATTTTATGAAAACACAAACCAACTTGTCCTTATAAATCAAGGAGGTATATGCTAGATACCATACTTAAAAAAAACTAATTCATTTTCGAATCGCTTTTGACTTATGATCTGTCAAGTGTCAGTTATTGATCAACTCGAGTCACTTACTGTCAAGAAAATGTCGCGTAATTTAAACTTACAGGAAAGAGCCGAAATTATATCATTACATCGGTTAGGATACAACATAAGTGATATTTCTAGAGAACTGAACATATCGCGATATACGACACGTTTTTGGATAAGACGTGAAGGGGAAGAAGGTAATCTTCAAGATCATAGGCGAAGTGGTCGGCCGCCTGCACTGTCCAGCGAGCAAAGAGAAACAATGAGACGTCAGTACGAAGAGGACGGCTTCACTTCTACCAGCGATTTTGCAGAAGAATTCGATGTTTCCAAAGAGACTATTCGGCAGCATTTGCATAGTATGGGATTGCATTACAGACGTCACTCTAAAAAAGTTTATTTGACCGACGCTAACAAAGCGGCTCGTTTAAATTTTGCCCGGGAGTACTTGAATTTCGATTGGTCTACTACGATATTTACGGACGAAAAAACGTTCAAATCTAGCCAACATGGTCGAATGACTCTCTGGCGTTACAATAATACTAGATTTAGGTGGTTACAAAAAAGCGATCACCCAGTACATTGCGCTGTCTTTTGAAATCTTTAGTGTAATACACCTTACGATTTCGGTACAGTTGCGTACAGTGTTAAATACATTCAATATTTATTCATTATTATTACCTATTATTTATTTTGTTTTTTTCCCTAATTGATGTTAAGCACTTGTTTCTTTACTTAAAATTTAGCAGGATTTCGAATAACTTCGCAGCCGAAGAAAATACAAATACCAAATAAGTTGTAACATTTACCTAGTCCAGATAACTAATTATCTAGCTAAAATTTATTTCAATATTACAATTAAAAAAGAAAATGTCTGGCTGCGGTAACGTTTCAAACGTTACCCCAGCAGGAAATGTTTTTTTGAAATAACTAAAAAAGTTTAAGTGAAACAAATTTAAAAATGTGCCTAACAATTACAGAAGGGGAGCAACTAATTATCTATAAAGTTTAAATGACCATTTTCGACATTATTTTGCTGGGGTAACGCACACCTCTGCAATAGGATTACAGGAATAACTTTTCGATTTTTGAGGTGTCGATTTGGTAGTTGTAAAACGGAAGATATTTGACAGCGAGTTTTCGTAATAAACAAAAATATCATCGATGTATGAAATATTTAGATTTTATTGATTTTTCAAAAATCGAAAAGATTCCGACGAATTGAGAACATTCTCCTTTTTTGAAGTCGGTTAAAAAATGACAGTAAATCAAGCTCTTTGTTAGTATTGTTTAAAGTCGGTTAAACTTCTTTCTTAAAAGGCTTTTATCTTGTTGAGTTCTTTATGCATACACAAATCAAATCAACTGTTTAGTACCGGTGTACAACGTTTCACTAACTAATGACGTTATATTGGTTATTTAGAAAGCACAGACACGTTACATTGAACATTTTGTATCAAACTATGGCAACATATATTTACAGTTCATTCTACATCGAAATATCGTTTTTAACAGAATTGGTTGCAAAATAAATACATGTAATATAATGTAGTACTACCAGGTTGCACAGGTTTTTATCTGAGGGATATTTAGTCGAAACATGGTTATGAGAGTGCTAATATTAGTTAAATGGTGATATTATAAGGATTTGTCGGTTACATAATCAATAATGTAGCAAATAAAACATGAAAATAATTTATTTTTTTGCATTTGTTTATTGTGTACCAACATATATTTGTATAAATATAAAATAAGCAGACTAGAACTACCAATCTATTTTTTGGTTTTGTTGTTCGAAAATATACAAAAATTATTTAAAATCTAAGGAAACTTCTTAGAAACACATTGGAGTTGTCTGATCAATATAATATAAACTTTTCAAACTTTTCATTAAAGTAGATATAGTATAAAATTATGATCCTGATACAATACAAATTACTCTGAATTCAGGCAATTTTGACACAATTATATAACGAACAAGTATTAAACTATTTAAACTCATTAGACACAGATTATTAATTAGTTATTTTATAAATGCGAAGTTTTCTACATATTTTATTTAAAGTTGCTTTCAGATCATGGATGTATGTTTCGATGCCAAAGATTAACGTCCTCAAATTCTAGACTGTAACAAAAAAAACATTTGGTAAGTAGTCTTCAAACATATATTGAATTCTGAAGGATTAAATTATTAATATAGCAATACAGATTGCTCGTCAATTAATTCACCTTGATACCTATGATATGACCTAATACATATCAAACTGGAAATTTGTTATAGACAAAGTCTATATAAATAAAAACGAAAGACTTAATGTGTTGCTAAGCGCAAAAGTCGAGAATGACTTGAACAATTCAGCTAATATTTCGGCTAATAAGAAAAACTAAAATACACAGAAATACGAAAAAAAAAATACACACAGAGCAAATTAAAATACCTGTTCCTACCTATAAATAATAATGACAAAAGTTTGTCAATATCAATCTAAGCGAAAAGTAAAATATATAGTATCAATGGAGTACTTACTTCACTACCGACGTGGATAGCAAGCATCATATCATAGTCGTTAGAGCCGACAGAAATGATCGCTCTTCCGTCATTACCTACAGTTATTCTCTTGCCGGTGCAGTTGTTACCGTTCCTTTGTCCAGAAATTACATCACAGTAGGTACCAGCTGGGAGACAGGTCTGTTGAAAAAAAAATCTCATACATTTGATTGCCATTACAATTAATTAAACTTAGAAGCTAGTTGGTATCCCTGTCCTAGTAGCCTGTCCAATAGACCCTATATGGGCATATAGATACGCGATCTCAGCCTCTTAAAGCTATTGTAGTCTTAGACCAGTTCTCTATTCGCGATATTATCTCAATTTACTTTAATTCTTTGTCCAGTTTGAAAACGATTTCATACACAAGAAGGGTTGACTACAGACAGGTGGCCGGCTGTAAAATCAAACATTACTTTTCCTTAAAAAGATACCTACTTCAATGGGAATATATCCTGTGGGAGACTTTACAAACATTCATGAAATGGACACAAAGAACATCCAGATTCAAAACAACAATTTGTGTATCACACAACGTTTTGCGCCATGTGGGGGGTCGAACCCACAACACTCAGTGCAGTAGGAAGCGGCAAGGCGACCACTTGAACGACGACGACGATGAAACTAAGAAGGGGTAGACAATAAGAATTTCTTGCATTTGATGCGTGTGCATTAAATTAAAATAATTGAAAGTAGATATTACCTGTAAATTCTGATTTAGATTCCAACTGTCGTTGTTGAAGGCGATAAATCCACGTCCTTGACGACAGAATGCAATTTGATTGCTACCATTATCCCACCAGTTAGTCATTGGTGCGTTTCCTGCAACATTTCTGAACACCACCATACTGTAGATTTGGCGCCAACGGTGTTCGCATACCCAGCCGTTGCCGCATGTGTTATCCTGAATCAATGGTGAATGGTTTAATTATGACTAAGACGCATTGATTATGAAGTCGATTAATTAATACCACATACATTACAGTCTCCTGTTACGTACTCGAAATAGCAACGTTAGTTAAAATCATACATTTTAATGTACTAACGCACGTAAAAATAAGCACTACCTCTCAAAAAATATAATCAAACTAAATCTTAATTAATGTATAATAATGCACCAAAGCATACAATTTTTGAAGAAATTAAATTATTTTGTAGATGTAACTATAACCCGTCATTTCACTCCTTATTTTTATTTAAAAATTACATTGAAGTACAAGCTATTTAAAACGTTCTCCATGAAGTACTTACAGAGTTGATGGCAGGAGAAATAATATTTCCACTGCGATCCATCGGAGGTCCAGCTTCAGTATCATGGAAAGCGAAACTGCTCATTAACTGAGGGAAACCATAAGGATGAGCCAACATAAACGCGATAGCACCTTTGTAGGGTCTCGCTTGCTTATAAGTGAGTATATTGCCACCAGCACCATGTCCTCTCTGGTTATCATGATTATCGATAAAAGTAAGTGCATCGTTGGACGCGAGAAGGCCCCAGGGAGTTCCCCAGTTCACTAACCATCTAAGCTGATTATTCCGTTGGAAAGCCCCTGATAGCTCCAGTCCAAATTTAAACTCAGTCACGGCACCGATAGGGGTGTATTCATTACGGCTGACTGCTTCGCCTCCTAGATCGATTACTTCTTGGTAGATGTATGGACGAGCGCCACTTGGAAAGCCGTGAGCAGTATTCAAATTATTTAGACGGTTGTAGATAATTCTGAGATCAGAGGGCCACATGTGCTTCGCAGCATCGATCCTGGAAAGATTGGGAACATAGTCGTAAATTTGATATTTTAACAAATTTCATTAATTAATGAAACTGAGAATGTTAAATACCTGAATCCAGCAACACCCAAGTTGATGAGATGGTTCATGAAATTCACAATCATTCTACGCACGTGTTCAGTGGCTTGGTTCAAGTCTTTCAGTCCAGAAAGTTCACAATTACGTACCTGCAATTAAATACTATATATATTAGCAATTATAAATACGCTCTTTTATCAAGCAGATCCTACACGCAGATTTATTTGTATTCTTTTCAGTAAGTAATATAAGCTATTTGCAAAGCGATTCAGTACATTTTCGTTCACTGTTTACCAACACACTTTTTTTGGTACCTATCTATTCTTTAATGAATGGCGATTCAATTCCGAACTGTCGCCAGACACTAATAAGCAAACATCAATGAACTACAATTTATATTCTACTATTGGTTAAAATAAGATATCAAGTAAAAATTAGTTCGTTAAAAATGTTACCTTAAAAAAACTTTTTCTTTATGACAAACATTTTAAACTTCTATAATATTGAACTAATAAAACGGTTGTTGGTATGTCAATAATAAAAAGCATACTTACTCTGTGAGCATCGTTGGCATAGTCACTGGGATTAATTACACAATGAGGCCAGTTAAAGTCATTTCGGCCATAAGGCACAGCGGGATAATGCCATTGACCAAAGTTTGCTGTGCTACCACCGGTACCCACATTTTCGTTCCAAGTACCAGTCATGTGGTTGATGATTGCATCTACGTAGATTCTACCAAAACAGACATGAAAGATATTTATCGACAACTCAGACTGCAAATAGCAACAACATCAATAACTGTCAGCGGCAAAATGCGCAAGCTACTCGTATATTAAAATGTGATCCTGTTCTGGAATCGTAAGCTTAGAAATCAAATAAAAAATTGGGAGAGTTTTTGAACGGACTGCCAAATTGTAATACTGAACAGGATTTCATATAAATCTGTTATCACATGTATCCTGTTTGTAAGGTTGTCAAAACTTTATATAATTGGATTCAATACATTACTGCTTTTTTGTTGTCTTTCTTCGGATTGTAAAATAAAGGTATTTAATGTGCCGCTGTTTTATTTTGTTGTAAAGCATTATTATTATAATTAGTACAATCCAAAGAATCTTGTCTAGTACAGAGGACAGCAGTGCACCCTTAGTCTATATAAAATGAATAATATGAATACCATATATCGACGCATAAAGGACTAAAGAGTCTTGAGTCTAAATGCGGAAACCGAAGCCCACAACCAATACCAACATAAATACAGTTTTATGTATTATACAGCCCAATGTTCATGGTGTTTAAAAAAAAATGTAATCAACTGATGAAATAAAACAGGTTTTGTATACTCCAATTTAACTACATCATTATTTGACTGCGGAAAAGCTGTTAAGATGTGAATCAGATGACTTACCTGACACCGACATTGTTGCATCTTCGTACCATGTTGGCAAACTGCTGTTCATTACCCGAACGAGTAATCAAACGATAAGACATAGGCTGGTAGCGTTCCCACCATGGGCGGTTTCTATTCCAGATTATCAAATTTTCATTGGGAGGAGAAATCTGAAAATTTTAGACATAGGTTATTTTTTATTGCTATTATCAACTCTTACTCTACTAATACTTACTATCTACTTACTATACTTTTACTTATCTAGACCCCAAATCGGTACCGTTGCATTTGGCACAACATCAAAGTTTTTTTAGGTACATTTTCATATACTAAACATAACCTCTATTGAAACTTTTTTTTTTTTTTTTTTTAATTGGGACTAATCCCACCCACACGCCCACCGCTGTAACTCCTGTACACCAGGATCCACAGCAGTGACCCACGAACACACCGAGTTATGACACTCGGGAAGTCCCAGGAAGAAATTAAACTGTCTTGGAACCCGCAACGAAATTAATCAGAAGAAAATTGGAGGAGTTGGAAATACAGTAAATCCACTTCCCTCCTTAGCTAAGCGGGAGACAAAATGAAGTAAAAAGGGCATACACCCTTTTAAACAGGGAAGCACCACGGCCAATCTATTGAAACTTGTTAAATCTATCGTAACAAGTTCTTCACCGTGCCAAGAACTTTATCTTATTATAGTTATAAACATTCGGCCAGGTCAGTTGATGTCCCAAACATTGTCATACCTCAACAATGACAGGACAGATATTTGGGTATGTGATCCCGGCCTCTTTTTCCCCATCCGAAAATTGCAATATCTTTACCCAAACTTCCTCACCTTATCAGTTTTCTTTCACCTAAAACACTAAAACACCCTAGACCCCATTTCGTGCTGACCCTAAACGATATTGGGAAATAGACAGGAAAATAAATATATATGTGAATTCAGTTATAGTGTTAGCAGCCGGCACCAAAAGACCTTCCATTTACTCTTTAGCTTTTGCAAGCGGGTTTAAAAAAAATCTTAATTTATAGTAGGTACAATAAATACTAAGGTTAAACATGTTTTCAACGATAGCTTATAGGCGTGGCCTTAGTGAGAATTAGAGAATTGATATTGAGTTTGTAGATCCCATTTTATTTATAAATGGATTAGTTACGGTCAAGTTAACCTAGACGAATTGTACATTTTGTACACAATTTCGTGAACGTCTCAAAAACACTATTAAAGGTTCGTTGTAATTCAATTCTAAATTCGAATATTTCAAAAAAAAAATTTGTAAAATATATGTATAGTTACAAGTAGCTTGTTTTTTCTGTTATTCTTTAGTATAGAATCAAAAGATTTCCTAAAATTAATGGCGGTAGCTCGTTCGGCAGTGCCAATAATTAAATATGTATTGGTCTACTTTTTATGTACTAATAACATGTGTGTATTTACTAGTTTGGTGCCAGATTTTAACCTCAATTTTTTAAATTTCCAGTTTTCAAATTTTGTTTTACAATTTTCTATATAAACATTAAAGGCCTTTTTAAAGTAAAATAAAGTTAAATATCAAATTTTGCAGGGCGCCGTGTTTGAATTCGAATTGGTTCCGTTTCGAATTGGTCAAAAATAAGGTACATTATAGTTTTTTTTATGGTAAAGGGGACGAACGAGCAGATGGGTCATTTGATAGTAAGTGAATACCGCTTGCTCATGGACACCTGCAACTCTAAAGACACAAGTGTGATGACGCCCTTTGAGCTTGGCCTCAAATATCCTCACTCACTCATAATAAGCAAAGAAAGAGTTACTTAACACCGGTTGTCTGTGAGGCGGTAATAACACTGCGATCTAGCCACCCTATATGTGCTGAATCATAACATAGCAATTTACCTGAACACCACCAAATCCTCTAGGTCCAAGCCACCGCTCGCACTCTACAGCAATGTCATCCCACTTCCACTCGAACAGATGCACCATCGTGGTACGGCCTGGTGCATAGTGGGGATTCTTGTAGCCCAATGTCAGCCCAACGGCCAACATTAGTAGGATGAAACGGAACATCCTAGAAAGACAGCATTTCATTAATTCATAATTTATACTTACCTAGTAAATGAAAGAAAACCACATGTAATTATAGAAATAATGGTAAATAATCCGTTTTAAAATAGCTTTTTAATATGAAGTGTCATTATCAGTTAAAGATAATCGCGTAAAATGGAATCGATAAAGACTCAACACTGAAAAACAGCAATTTAGAATACAAGGCAAAAGCAAAAGACTAAGAACGTTGGTATATATATATATTATACCTATATAAATGAAATTACGTCATTATTCATTATAAGTAAATAATGTTTATTATAAGACCTATATTTATATGAGCCTTTTTTTTTTAATGGTACTTGCATATTTTAAAATAGGAGAAAATGAAATGGTCAATTGCTTAAAAACCAACTGAAATTCAAATCCTTGGATTACTTTATAACATAAAAGAAACATCAAGCGTTAATAAAATACTGAGAGTAAAGATTAAATATTATAATAGTACATAAGGTTCAATTTTGAATTTAACTTGAATTCAATATGTTGTGTAATACAGGTGAACAATCTTCAAGGATAATCCTGGTTTATGTTTCGTTACAGTCAGATTGAAAAGGCAAAGATGACAATATATATGTTATTTTAATATACACAGTATAGTATTGAAATTCAACGTATAATACGGTTATTATAATATAATAACCGTATTATACGTTGAATTTCAATACCATATATTATATGGTAATCAAATGATTGGTTGGTTTGAGGCTTGAGAGGTAATTAAATGATTGGTTTGATTTAACGCTGAAGATTTAAGCATATTATAATGTAATTGTATGTTAGCGAATTCTCTAATCAAATAAAAGTGTGTATAGAAAGTTAACAATAAGTTTAAAGGGAAAACATAATAATAATTGAATAACGAAACCAAAATCAATGTGAGGAGAAATTGCAGTACTTTTACTCACCTTGTAAGTGGTGTTGGTGGGTGGCACTTCTATCGCTCAAATTAACTGATCTACCGATCTACAGCAACATTGCACACTTATATACCAAAAGATAAAAAATATATTTGTAGATACGATAACGAGAAATTTAATTAACAGAATAATACGTTCATTAGGTTGATACAAATTGCAAAATGACAAGCTGACGTCGACAACGAAGCTGATGAGTCTTTTCAAAGGGAGGCTAAGTAAAACACATACCTGTATACCCAAATGACAGGTAGAGGCAAAGTTCTTTTTTATTGGTATACGGCAAACGAGTAGACAGTCACCTGATGCTAAGCGGCTACCGCCGCCAGCAACTTCGACAGAATCAGGAATTTTGTAGGTTTCATA